GAATTACGAACTCCAGGATCTAAAAGTCTTCATGCTTCAGGTTGGTACCTGTTTTATGGGGGCTTTGCTTTCTTCTTCCCCCTTTGCTGCATTTACTTTTGGCATAAGAGAAAAAACAAGGCTGAAAAGAGCAAAAGAAATGCATTTTAAGACTTTTCAATGTGAGTACCATGCACTCTGATATGCCAGTGTACTATCTCTTCATACTTAGATGCTGTGATTTACCAAACCCAAGTCCTGCCAGGAGCGAACAGTTTAACTGCATCCTGATAAAAGGGTGGTAATAGTTGGCCTGGAACTGGCAAAATCTGTATATACTAAAGTGATTTGTGCAAATTGTGTTTATGAAGATTAAAGTTAAGGGAATTCTTAACTCTACACGAGCTCTGCAATGCCATACAATGTCAGTTGAAACTGGTATGTGAAACAGTTGCCTATTACATTTTACTTGTCAATGGGATCAAACAAGTACAACATGGCAAATCCACCTTTGGTTAAAATTTAACTTGCAGTTCTCTGGCCTAGAATACAGCTGGTTCCCTTCTGAGCAAATATTAAATTGTCTCATGTATTCTTACTTAATCAGAAATCAAAACAGGTAGAATTTTGGAAATACATAGGAAGGGTTAGTTTTGCTTATTGAAATATCTGAAAAGCTGTTTCATGTAGATCCAGTAAAAATCATTTAGAGCTTCTAAGTCTGTGTGGTTATAGACCATAGACTGATTAAATGCTAGGACTTTGCTTTCTCATCCTTTTTGTCTTAAGTAGTGCTGATTTTCATGGGAAGATAGAAGGTTTGTTACATGGAGGCTATTTATCTACAAACAGGTTGTATTTTGTTGTGACAAATGTTTGTTCTACTGCAGAATTACAGACTGTTTCAAGGTATTCCATTGCAGTGGGTGGTTATGAGCACATCTGTATTCACAGGCATTGGGCAACAGGTTCCCCAACACTGTTCTATGATACAACAGTCTTTGCTTTGTTGTTCCATCAACTTTAAGGGAACAACTTGTCAGCTCATTGGGAAAAATACTGATGGATTTATCTAGAGTTGGGTAAAAGCTTTCATAGAAAGATCTGATTTCCTGTTCTTTCCCATGTCTTTCTCCCCTCACTTCATTTCCCCTTTCATGGAAGTTAATTGAGAGGCTTTTCCTTGTATGTCAAAGTCTCTACTTCCACCTTTACATGGATTATTTCCCATCACAACTAAGAAAAGTCAACATGTATCAGCAGTAGTTCAGTGGGCGTTTGTTCTGACATAAAGCAGTGTTGAGAACTAGACCTTGTTGTATAGATGTACATGAGACCTCAGCTTTTTGTGGTTTAAAGAAGCCACATAAGAGGAATGTGGAGCTGTTGGAGCAAGTCCGGAGGAGACCACACAGATGCTCCAAAGGCTGGAGCAGCTCTGCTCTGGAGTCAGGCTGAGAGAGCTGGGCTGGTTCAGCCTGGAGAAGAGAAGGCTCCTGAAGGGGAGACCTTAGAGCAGCTCCAGTGCCTAGAGGGGCTTTGGACAAGGGATGTAGGGACAGGCCAAGGGGAATGGCTTGAACCTGCCAGAGGGGAGACTGAGATGAGCTCTGAGGCAGAAGCTCTTCCCTGTGAGGGTGCTGAGGCGCTGGCACAGGGTGCCCAGAGAAGCTGTGGCTGCCCCATCCCTGGCAGTGTTCAAGGCCAGGTTGGACACAGGGGCTTGGAGCAACCTGCTGTAGTGTGAGGCGTCCCTGCCCACGGCAGGCGGTTGGGGCTGGATGAGCTTTAAGGTCCCTTCCAACACAAACCGGTCTGGGATTCTAGATGATAAAAAGGCCCCTCATATCAGATGAACACTGTTAGCTTGCTCATAGAAAACACAAAGTGAAGTGTGCTACCTCAGACTTCCTTGGCTGCACTTTACAGATTGTAAGATACATGCTGTCACTTGCTATGTCTGATCTGTAGCAGCTCTGCTTTATAGCCTGTCTTTACCCTACAGAAGCATCACCAGAGTTCAAGCAGTATAGTGCCTGTATAAATGCAGAACAGAAACTAGGCTGAATTGTGGTAATCTGACCTAATTGAGGGTTTAATTCTATGCTCATAGGTTTGTTTTTTGGCAGCCCTGAAAGATGTATACCAGCCATTGATTCCAACTGTCTTACCTGAATATTCCAGATTACAACTTAAAGTGAACATTGAGATACTAATGCTTCTATTACAAGAGAAGTTGTTACTGTTAACATGGCTTTATTTACAGTACTGTATCCTGGACCCTGTTGACTGTCTTGGGAGAGGAAAGGAAGGCATTTTTATCCATATTTATGGAACTTATATTTGTAGTTCTGCAATTTTTAAGTAACTCTGCATCTCTGTTACTTTATGTTTTGCTTTGCTTTCTTTTTAGATAACGCTGAGTGCAAAGAAAAAGATGCCAATGAAAATAAACAAAGTACAGAGGAAAACATTTCCAATGCTTTACCCGTCAAAGTACAAACACCCAAATCTTCACACAGAATCCATCAGTCTAATAAAAGGCAAAATTCTGTGTCTCCCTTTTCTAAACTCTATGAAAAGTTGAAAAAAGAGATTAAAGTGAAAAAAGCTCTTCCTGGGGGAAATGCATCTCAAGAAGCTGCAATAGGAGATGGGAAGAGGGTTCCTCTAGAACCAAGCTCTCAGATTTCATTGTCAGATTGTGTTTCTGATCTTGAAAACCTGTCTAAAGAACAAGAAAGAGGCAGAAGTGAAAACATTGAAAAATGTAAGGTAGAAATCGAGCAAGATGCTGTCAATTCAGAGTTTAACCAGGTCTCAGCTGTCAGAAGTGCTACCAAGAAGAGTTTTACCAAAAGTCCTCGAAGATCCATTTCGAAGGTGTCAAGAGATACTGGTGAAAGAAGTCACTTGCAGGATCATAAGGAGCTAAGTACAGCAGGAAAGTCTGAAAGTACTGAAGTTATAACCAAGCCCAGTCAGGAGAAGGATGGAAATGCAGTGTTTTCACTGAAGCAGTGCTCTATAGAATGCTTGGATTATGCAGCTGAAATGAACATGCACAGCTCTGCACCAGCACTGGATGAACCAGCACAACCAGGTAACACCACAACCGTTCCTGATGTTGACCAGTATGTTCTGTCTACACCAACATCCAGAAGGAAGAGTCCTCGGTCTTTTGTATCACCCACCAGAGAAAGTAGTGGAATGAACCCTGTAATCACTGATATTCCAACACCTCGACGGCATGTGTCACTGGAACGTAAGTCTCTGTCAGGAGTTTCAGCTGAAACTCAAAGGGAAGATTCACTGTCCATAAGTAACAGCCTCAAACAACTGCCTTTGGCAGAAATCAAGTGCTTAAAACAAAGACGAGGCAGTAAACAGCATACACCAGGAAAACCTGATGAAGTGCTGAAAGAGATTTGTGACCAGGCAAACTTCGTGACCTCAAAAGAGGAACATTCTGAACCTCCTGCCTCTTCTAATTCCAAGAGTCCCAGAAGAAATAACAGAGAAAGTCAAGAATTATCAGACAAAAGTGTCCATTTGGAGACACTGGCTTCAGAAGAGTTCAAATCAGAACTGGCATCTCCTGCTAGTCACAAATGTGGCTCTGGCAGAAAAAGAGGTAGGCCGAGGAGCTCTGGGCTGCTCACAGGGAAAGCATTGGAGACAAATCCCTCTCTAGAGCACCACGATAAACCTACAGACAGAAAAGACAGTGGAATGAACGAAGAGGTGGCCACCAAGGGGGATCACGAGGAGCAAGGTTTGGAAGATGCTGGAGTAACAAGACCTCGTAGATCGTCATCGAAGAGGAGGTCTTCTGGAGGCGCTGGTCTACTGAAAGACACTGAGGCTGTCTCAGAAATGAATATTTCTGACCTGTTGGCTGGGGAAGAATCAGGTAAACCTGTTTAATCCCTGCCTGGCGGGGTTTCTACTCAGAAACTCTCCTCCTAGTATTTCTATGAGCATTTTCCCACTCATGCAAAATGTAGAACGTGCCCTTGCTGACATATTGCTTCTAAAATATTTATCATGCAGTTACAGTTGATCATCAAAATACACAATAATATCTATAAAAGTTTACTCCACTGGATCTATTTCTCTTAAAGATAAATTATCTTCTGATTTGTTTTGACTTTAAAATGCACAAGAAAAGGCTGTTTTTTATGTGGATTAAAATGTTGATTTGGAGTCTTTGCTGTGAGGGTGCTGAGGCGCTGGCACAGGGTGCCCAGAGAAGCTGTGGCTGCCCCATCCCTGGCAGTGTTCAAGGCCAGGTTGGACACAGGGGCTTGGAGCAACCTGCTGTAGTGTGAAGCAGCCCTGCCTGTGGCAGGGGTTGGGACTGGATGAGCTTTACGATCCCTTTCAACCCAAACCAGTGTGAGTCTTAGATCTGTTTTCACTTGTTCTTTTCAGGCAAGACAACAAAGATGTCTCCGAAGAGGAAAAGTGGTGATGTGTTACTTCAGCCTTTAGGAAAAAGAAAGAGAGTGTCTTTTGGTGGTCACTTGAGCCCAGAGCTTTTTGATAAAAGTTTGCCTCCCAACTCACCACTTAAAAGAGGTGCCATTCCCGCCCGGCTGAGCCTGCCCTTTGGAAACTCTCCACGTGCTGTCCTCAAAAAGGCTCAGGGACTGAAGCACTTTGCAGACCAGGTAAAGGTTAAGACTAATCAAGTTGCTGAGACACTTTAGTGTGAACAGAGTATAAGTTCAAGGACTTCTAAAAATTAACTAATAAGTAGTAGTAAAACTTTTTAGGTGCATGTTGGGATATGGAAACTTTAATTGCAAGTTAAAAAAGGTATTTGGAACCAGCAAACTTTAATCAGCATTATTTTAACTTCTCCACTGCAGGAAAGGGCTCAGTTTACCCAGGGGGTGTGTATTTATTCACCTCACATGCCATTGCTCATTCTCATGTTGTAGTGATAGGACAAATGGTGATGGGTTTAAACTTAAACAGGGGAGTTTTAGGTTAAATCTAAAGCAGGAGTTCTTTACTGTGGGGGTAGTGAGGCACCGACACAGGGTGCCCAGAGAAGCTGTGGCTGCCCCATCCCTGGCAGTGTTCAAGGCCAGGTTGGACACAGGGGCTTGGAGCAACCTGCTCTAGTGTGAGGCATCCCTGCCCGGGGCAGGGGTTGGAGCTGGATGATCTTAAGTTCCTTTCAACCAAACCAGTCTGGGATTCTATGCATATGCCAGAGTACATTTCTGTATGTCTGTGCTTAGCAGCAGTGTCTGAGTGTCTGTGAGCTCCAGTTTACCACAACTAACAGCAAACAGAACAGTTTGCTGGCCAACTCTGCAAGCTCCTGCCACCTGCTTTGGTTAGAACCTGGAAAACATTTGCTGTTGATTCAAGCTAGTTATAATGTGTGAGGTGTACTAGAGGTGAACAAGACTGTTGAGTAAAGTAGAACAGTAAACTCAGTTAATTTATTCAATTGAATTTGCATGTCTTGGGAGACTTAGGAGAATTAAAACTTGCTAGAAATTTGTTTTCAGAGAATATTTAAGGCTTTATCAAATGACCTGATGCTGTTTTATACTATTGTATTTATCTGTCAGATGTAGATGAGCGCTTGTGGTCCAGCTGCGTGCAGTAACATTTGATCTTTATGTATTTATTTTTTGCCTACCAGGAATTTCCTGAACATTTGCAGAAAGAAAAAATGTCACCAAGAAATCTGTCAACTGAGAAGTCCCCAGGTGCCTCGTCCCCTTCCTCTGGGAGGACAACACCTAAACTGCCTTCAGGCTCTCCAGCACCTTACAGAAAGGGACGTTTCTCTGTGTCTCACATCACGGCACCATTACCCATTGTAGAAGAGAGAGATGTTGTTGCAGAAGACATGAATACAGAGGAGGAAGATGGTGCCTCAGTGAAAACACCTGAATCTTCTCTTGTTAACCAAAATGATAAACCCTTTTTAGTGGCTACACCTGACAAACAAACCAGAAGTGCCCAACTTGCTCTGAAGGTCACTCCCATGAAGAGCAGAACTGGGGCTGTAGCAATTATCAACGCAAAAAGAAGAAGTGGAGCCTCCAGTGCCAATCTGTTAGGTTTGTTTCAGCAGTTAATCCCTATATTCATTTTAATGCTTTAAAATGCAGGAATAAAACAGAAGTAGGCCTATTGACTTGTTATGCAGAGGCCACCAAATGCTTGGCGTCGCTACTGGGGGTTGTTGGACTTGTTGGAAACTGTGAATTGCAAAATGTTGCATTCTCTCATATTATTAAATTACTAAAGCAAAGATCAAATCATATTTAAAACACAAATTTTAATGTTCGGAAGTCGAAAAATGGGAGAATTAAGGTTCTTTATTGCAAGGTTACTTGCAATAGTGATCCTTCAAGTTCAATTAGTGTTGAATGAAATCATTGTATCAAAGCACTCGTAAATACCCCATCCCTGGGAGTGTTGAAGGCCAGCTTGGACCCAGGGGCTTGGAGCAACCTGCTCTAGTGGAAGGTGTCCCTGCCCGTGGCAGGGGGTTGGAACCAGATGATCTTAAGGTCCTTTCCAACCCAGACCGTTCTGTGATTCTATGATTACATCAATTTTGATTTGACAACATGCATTTCATAGCAGTCTAGCTTCAGTGTGTTTTGTTTGTGCCTTTTTTTTATACACAGTTCAAATCTTTCTCCACGGACTGAACTGGTACATGACAGTGGTTATATGACAGACATAGTTAGAGAATAGGATGATAACTGGGTATTAACTTGAAAAGTTTGAAGTTAAAACATTTAAATTTGGATGTTCAATGCTGGTTTGAATAGTTTTGGTAACACTGGAAACATTATGATAGGGGATGTCTGGTTCTTGAAACTTTTGTCTTTGAAGAAGACAGGCATTTTATGGAGAGTACTTCACAAATATCAATGACACCATTTCCCCACCTCTCTGTAATGTGTAAGTGGGTTTTCATCTGCAGTTTCTTCTGCAATATGAAAAGACCACCAGAGTTCTTAAAAATTTTTTGATGTCTGCTTAGTATCCAAAATAAAACTGTGTTTCCAATGCTTTTTCAGGTAGTTTCCTGCAGGCTTGGTATGTGTCTGTGTACCCTGAACACCCTAGTAATGATACCTTATGGAAGTGCTTTTTATTTACAGACTTTCCCAATTTGCACAGCAACCCTGACAAGAGAATAATAAACCTGAGGAACAGCATTCCCCTTTTTATCTCTACTTAAAAAAATAACAGTTTCTTTTATATGATCCCTGTCTTCTCATAACCTATTTCTGAAGCAAACAAGGCAGATGTGCCACCAACTTACAGCCTCATTTATTACACAGCTCTAACTAATTCCCTGATTCCTCTGCTGTGGACAGAATGATGCTGTAATAAATGTAAGCTTGCTTTGGGAATTTCTGGTGTATGTTACAAGGAAAAGGTGATATAAGAAAGATTATGGAAAGTCTGTGTAGATCTAAAAGCTGTAAGCAGTATAAATAAATAGTCTCCTGACTACAATGTTCTTTGGGAAGGTGGTGAAAGAAAAGCTGGATATGTTTCACTTAGAAGCCATTTCCCTGATGTTAAAACTCATGTCCCACTGGGGACAAGTGAAGATATACTAAAAGAGACTGAAAGACTCATGGTAAGTTTTTATTGGGAAAAATTATTTCCTTACAAAAAGAGTGAGGATGGAATTGGGTCAGCATTTGGTTCTAGGATCTAACTTCTGTTTGACACTGCACGAAGCTCGTTTTGTTGTGGAAAGCCACACTGGACACTTGTTAAACTGCAGCTGAAATTGGGTCTTCTAATTGAAACTGTTTCACAGAACACTTCAGTATAGGTGTTGTCAGGTGGTGCAACCACTTTCCTGTGCCCAACAGCAGCAAATCCATTGGAATCATCTGAGAATTAAAGTGGTTGTTTCTCTTTTCTAGTGGCAAAATCTTGGGCAGAAGTGGTAAAATTGGGTGTCGCAAGACCACAGGCAAAGGCTGCTAAAAAGAGGGTTAGGAAAGGAAGATTCCTGAAGAAAACAAACCAGTCATCAAAGGTATGCTTTCTAAATTCTCTTTGTTTGCTTTTGCATAATCACAAAACAACTTGTAGGTATTTTGGTACAGAAACTAGAAGCTTCTGAGCTTTGAGTATGATGTGAAATGGGTGTTGATAGCTTTTTCTCTACAAGAAATGTAGGCTTTATTTAAAAGTAATCTTTCTTTACTAACCTTTGTCCTTTTCCTCCTTTTTTCCCCTCTACAGACTCCAGAAAGCAAAATAAAAGGTCATTTTAGCACAGGACATGCAGAGTCACCTGCTACAATAGTTGTGGGTAGAGCTTATTCCACCACAGTCAGAACAACTGGACGGGCCCCTAAAGTGGTGACAAACCCTATCATGAAGCTAAACATGAACATGGACGAAAGCTTCACAGGTAACTTCTTAAAGCCTGTTGCTCACTCTGCCACCCTCTGTCCTTCTCTTGTCAAAGTAAATGCTCTTTTCTCCAAATGTAATTTGTAGGAATGGCTGAAATGTTTCAAACTCCAGAAAATCTGAGTGGGAAAACATCACCTTTGGCTGCTGCTCAGAAGATGGATTTTACACCAACTTGTGCTGCAGCGGATATTTCTGAGCTGCAGACTCCTGAGGAAACTGGTATGTTTGTTATTTGAAAAGCAAGGGACTGGTTAGGTGTATTATGGGGTAGCAGACACAGCCTAGGTAGAGTTCATGTATTGGGATGAAGCATATGTCAACCCAAAAAAGGAACCATTGATTTTTATCATGTATTAAAAGGTGTTTTTGCAGCTCCAGCTAATCTTTGAGGCTGAGAAAGTTGGGGCTATTCAGCCTGGGGAAGAGAAGCTGCGTGGAGACCTCAGAGCAGCCTTCCAATATCTGAAGGGGGCCTACAAGGCTGCTGGGGAGCGACTCTTCATTAGAGACTCTAGTGGTAGGACAAGGGGGAATGGGTTTAAACTTAAACAGGGGAAGTTTAGGTTAGATATAAGGAAGAAGTTCTTCACAGTGAGGGTGCTGAGGCACTGGAATGGGTTGCCCAAGGAAGTGGTGAATGCTCCAACCCTGGAGGTGTTCAAGGCCAGGTTGGACAGAGCCTTGGGCGACATAGTTTAGTGTGTGGTGTCCCTGCTCATGGCAGGGGGGTTGGAACTAGATGATCTTAGGGTCCTTTCCAACCCTAACTATTCTATGATTCTATGATTTGAAACTTTAAGATGTTGAAGTATTGCCTGGGGCAGATGTTGTGCTGAAGCATGGCACATTCTTAGCCAGTTGTAAAGTTTCATGCTAGAGAGAGGTTATTCTGCAGTACTAAACTTAAAAAGTCTGGTTAAAAGTGTCATGTTGGACAGAGTTGTATTAAGATGGTACTTTGAGCATCTTTCGCTCAATCTTCCATACCAGCCTTTGTGTCTCCTATTGCTTCAAAACACAAAGGGAGTTGCAAGGAAAAAAGTGTACCACAAGAAGTTTTAGGGACAACAGAGAACTACATTTTATATCGGATTAAATAGGAAAAAATATCCCAGTTTTTATAGTCACTTTGAACTGTGTGCTAGCTACAAACCAATTGCTGATGCACATTTTTGGTTTGTAGAAGGCTCTGGCTGATTGAATTCAGTTTTAGTTATACAGTATATATTTGGGTTTTCTGCTTAATTCTCTTTCCAAATTACGTACATCTACTGCTTCTTTCAGGAGAGATGATGGTGTCACCGTTGAATAGTTCAGATGTTTCAGAACAGAAACAAGATAGTCCAGTCATCTGTCACTTTTTGAGGGAGGAGTCATCTCTGAAGTCTGCGTTTGATGCAATAGCCACAAAAACTCCTGAAAGAAGAAATGCTATGCTGGAAGAAAATACTAGTGGGAATAGTTTGTCAGCAAGCCCAGAAAACCAAACGTCTCGGGTGAAATCTGGAAGTAGAAGGAGGACTCCAAAGCAGAAGTTGGAGCCAGCTGAGGTTATATCAGGCATCAAACAGTTTTTAAGGACCCCAGAGCAAAGGTCAGAACCAGCAGAGGCCTTATCGGGCATCAGGCAGCTCATGAAGACCCCGAAGCAGAAGTCAGAGCCTGTAGAGGCTTTGTCAGGAATTAGGCAGCTCATGAAGACCCCGAAGCAGAAATCAGAGCCTGTAGAGGCTTTGTCAGGAATTAGGCAGCTCATGAAGACCCCGAAGCAGAAGTCAGAGCCTGTAGAGGCTTTGTCAGGAATTAAGCAGCTCATGAAGACCCCGAAGCAGAAGTCAGAGCCTGTAGAGGCTTTGTCAGGCATCAGGCAGCTCATGAGAACCCCAAAGCGTAAGTTGGAGCCTGTAGAGGCCTTGTCAGGAATCAAGCAGCTCCTGAGGACACCGAAGCAGAAGTCAGAGCCTGTAGAATCTTTATCAGGTATCAGGCAGCTCATGAAGACCCCAAAGCAGAAGTCAGAGCCTGTGGAGGCCTTGTCAGGCATCAAGCAGCTCCTGAGGACACCAGAGCAAAAGTCAGAGCCAGCTGAAGTCCTGTCAGGCATCAAGCAGCTCATGAGAACCCCAAAGCGTAAGTTCCAGCCTGTAGAGGCTTTGTCAGGCATCAGGCAGCTCATGAAGACCCCAAAACAGACGGTGGAGCCTGTAGAGGCCTTGTCAGGCATCAGGCAGCTCCTGAGGACACCAGAGCAAAAGTCAGAGCCAGCTGAGGTCCTATCAGGCATCAAGCAGCTCATGAGAACCCCACAGCGGAAGCCAGAGCAGGTCGAGGTCCTGTCAGGCATCGAGCAGCTGCTGAGGACCCCACAGCAGAAGCCAGAGCCAGTTGAGGTCCTGTCTGGCATTAAGGAGCTCATGAAGACCCCAGAGCAAGAGTTGGAACCTGTTACAGATGAAAGTGCCTTTAAAAGATTGCTGAAGCCTCCAGTACAAAACAGGGAAGCACTTAAAGGTGTTACTTTAACCAAGAAAACCCCAAAGGTGAAATATCAACCAGTAGAAGACATGATTGGGGTCAGCCGCATTTTCAAGACACCAAAGGACAAAGCTGAACCCATAGAAAATGCGTTTGGTATTAGTAGATTAGTGAAGACTCCAAGAGAGAAGTATCAACCAGTTGAGGTTTTTGTGGGTCTGCAAAGGCTTATGGCAGAGCCCAGACAAAAATACTCCGACTCTGAAGTGGACTATGCTGGAGTTACAGAGATGTTTGATGCACCAGAGGAAACTGAGGTAAAATACGTTCTTTAGCTTTTGGAGGGGATGTTTTTAGACTTAGAAACCTGTGGTTGAAATGAATTCTTAGGCCTCCTAGTGTGACATCTTGTATGTTACAGCACTTCAAATATGTCCTGCCCAGAACCTTCTAGAAATGTATCCCAAGTTGACTTGAGAACTGTCCAGATGGCAGTCCTGGTTCCTTGGCAGCTTTGCCCAGGTGGATGCCCCCTGATAGAAAACACAGCTTACTACAAGTTTGAATCTGAGCACTGTCTGGTTTTTTTTCTGGTCATTTGTTCCTATTGTGCTTAAAGTACCTTTTAAATTGCTTAAAAACTAATCAAATTCTTTCTCAACCATCCTTTTCATAAGCAAGGGGAATGGTTAGTTGCTTTGCTCCATACCCTGTAGATTAAATGGTAAGCTCTCTCTTTCCTTTCCCACCCAAAGGTTTTGACAAAGCATTTTGCCACATGGCCAGTAGATTGATCTAAGTTCCTAAGTCTTTAATGCATTGCTTCTGGAATGGATGCCTATTTTATAGACATCTATATGTATATTATGTTTGCCTGTGCTAATATGCATCTTCTTTGAAGGAACTCTATGTAAGTAGTTGCTGAGGTTGCTCTGGGTCACTATTCTGACCTTAGAATTCACAGCTTCATCCCTGGTCATTTGTGAAATTTTAGTATTCATTTTAATGTTCATTCCCAAATCATAGAACCATGGAATGGTTTGTGTTGGAAGGGACTTTAAACTCACCTAGTCCCAGCCTCCTGCCACGGGCAGGGACACCTTCCACTAGAGCAGGTTGCTCCAAGCCCCTGTGTCCAACCTGGCCTTGAACACTGCCAGGGATGGGGCAGCCACAGCTTCTCTGGGCACCCTGTGCCAGTGCCTCAGCACCCTCACAGGGAAGATCCATTGTAAAATGCCGACTATCACTGGGATTTGTGTTCATCAGTGGAGAACTACAATAAACAGCTAGAAACCACTCAAATCATTTGGCCTGAATACCTCAAATTCCTTTTGAGCATTCATTTAGGCACTTGTCACTCATTTTGTTAATGACTTTTCTAACTTTGTGAAGTGTTTGTTACCTTTCACTTTAAAAACTGCTCACTGGCTTAGATGGCCAGTATTAAGTTTGGTAGATTTCTTTGCAAATATCATATATATATGAATACAGTTATAAAACTGATTTCATTTTTAGAGAAAAGTACTTGATAAGACTTCAAATATTTCTATACGCTGATTTTGTATTGGTTGGCTCCAGTATTTATTGTCCTTTCAGACATGCATTTATTGATTATTGTTTATTTCCTTAGGTGAGATCAGTAAAAGCTATGGATTCCAAGCAAGAAGATGCTGCACCTCTTTGTACTACTTCCACTCCTAAAAGTGGTAAATGCAAATACGTTAACTAGAGGAATAATGAAGATAGAAGTTAATATATGTTGTTATGAAGTTTTAACATATGTTTTAAAAATTCCAGTATACAGCGTGTGAGGGGTCCATAGCTCATAGCTCATGGCATTTGTGCAGTCATTCCTAATGGACACTAGGTGCTGGTAGAAGTAACAGTGTAGTAGTTTGTTGGTGGGGTAATGTTGGCTTCTCTATACATACCAGTAAAAAACCTGATGTGAAAGTCTCTACTTAGAATTATCTTTCTTTGCAAAGACTTTTAAGAACACAGCTTAAACCTGTGAATGCTGCCTATGAAATGAAGCAAGTGTCTTTGGTCAGAAGCCTGGGGTTTAACTTAATTGCTTAAAATCTGTGTTTCTTTTTAAATTAAGAGTAAGAAGTGTAATTTGTTTAAGTAAGATGACAGTTAGGAAAATCAAAACACACAGATTAGGCGTAGTAATGTTTAATGTTTGTTTGTGCTTTTTTCTATGTAAAAACTTCGAATGGGGAAAAAAACCTGGTTTAGAAGATAAAGGAAATATTTCACAAGGTGAAGATTCCCACCAGAATGAACCAGCTAGTGCAGGCCAGTCTACCCAGAGAAGAAGGGGCAGACCAAGGAAGATGGTACATCCTGCTTCAGCAAAGCACTGCAAAAGGGATTTGAATTTAAAAGAGTTGCAAAGTGTGGAAAAAAAGAGTATCCAAGAGGAGGTGGGAGCTAAAAATGAAGGAATGAGAACCAACTGTCATATCCAAGAAGAAACTGTTTCAGAGCCCCCTGATCAGGAAAAAGTTGACATTGTTTCATCTGTAGAACCATGTGGAGCTACTCAAAGACCCAGAAGAGGTAAAAGGAAAGACCAAAAGGAGTTATACCATCCAAGTGAGAATCCTGAGTCTTGTGACAAAGATTCTTCTGTGCTGCAAGAAGAGAAACAGACTTTGCAGGATTGTGGTGCCAGTGACCTAGTGGAAACTGAAGGTGGTCCAACCATAAAGACAGAAAGTGTATCTACTAGCACTGAAAATGAAAACTGTCAACTGCAAACAGGTTTAAAAGAAACCGAAAACAAACCTGATGAAGGTGGTATAGAAGACAGCAAAGAAATGCTTCTGTCACCTAGGAGGAGAGCTAGAGGAGTAAAAAAAGTAGCAAGCCCAGAACCGCTGATTCCACCCAAAAGAGGAAGAAGAGCTAGAAATGATCAGGTTCAACAAGCTGCTTCAGAGGCCCTTCACAGGACAAGAAAGCTTCGTAAAGACCCATCAGAAAGAGAAGAAGAGAGTTTTGTCAAAGATACTGGGGCTGCCACAACAGAAGCACCTGAAAATGGAACTAAACTTGAAAAGAAGATACCAGAGAAAAGAGTGAAGTCTTTAAGAAGTGCTGGAAAGCACTCAACTGAAGTAAAAGCAGACACTGGTGCGATGATATTTGAAAATATACAAACCGTTCAGAAAACTGAGGAAACTCCAACTGAAGCTGGTACTGAACCACCAACACTCATCAAAAATGAGATTAAAGCATCTCAGGGACATGAAACAGAAAACGCTCAGGAAAAGCCAACAGAAGCATCTCAAAGATTAAAGACAGAGTCACCTTCTGGAGAGACAAACAAAATATCAGTCACTGCAAACAGAAGTGCAGCAAAGGAAACAGTGAGAACTAGAAACAGGAGAGGCAAAAAAGATTCCTTGGAGAAAAAGTCTGATGAATTTGCCAAAGATGTAGAGAACCTTGAACTAATTGCTCCCCAAACCAAGTCAGAAGCAGAAACAAATGAATCTTCTCTCAAAGATTCTGTGGGCTCTGTTTGTGTCAAGAATACCTACCAAGTCATGAAGGACCAGGACATCCCAACTGCCACACCAGTACCTGCTGCAGACAGTGATGGTCTTGCTCTGAGCCGTCCAAAGCGGACAAGAAATGACCAGGGAATAAAAAACACAAAGCAAACTGAAACCCTGCAAGAGAATCAAGCCCAAAATTGTGGAATGATATGTGCAAGAGGCAGAGGTAGAAAAGTTCGTTTTGAACTTGAAGAAGCCAGTTCCAAAGCGGTTGGAGGAAACAGGAGTTTACCTGAGGATGACAAAGGAATGACTGACAAAGAGAGTCAACAAGAGACTTCAGGAGATCCTTCTTCACAAGTAAGGAGGAGCAGAAGAAAGCAAGCTGATACCATTCCACAAATAGCTTGTTCTACCCTTATGGAAAAACAAACCTTAACTGCAGAGCATAATAAAGATGAAGCTTCTACAAAGGAGCAAGATTCAGCTTTGGAAGCTACTCCCTCTTCAACAGAAGACATTCCACTGAGACGAGGGAGAAGACGAGAGGTTGCTGCAGCATCACAAACATCTCGATCTCTTTCTACCAGAAGAAGACGTGGGGTGCTGGAAGGTGATGATAAAAAGATGACTGTGAGGGAAGATCAAAATCCAGCTTCGGGAGATGAAACTTTGCAGGCAAAAGCAAATGAATCAGCAAGGGACGAAAGGGAAAAGACTGATGTAGCAGCAGAGGCAAAAAGTTCATCTGCTCTCCAGAGCAAGTGTAGCTTGTCAGAAACTGATGATAAAGAGGAGGGCACTAATGAAGAACAAAATGTGCTTTTCGAAACAGTGTCCTGTGCAAAAGAGAAGCCATTGGGAAGAGGCAAAAGGAAACAAACTGCTCTGGCATCACACACAACTAGTTACATTCCTCTTAGAGGAAAACGTGGTTTGCCAGCAGATAACAGTAGAGAAGAAGCTCCTAAAGAAGATCAAAACATTCCATTACAAACTTCTGATTCATCTGTAAAAGAAAATCAACTGAGAAAAAGCAGAAGGAAAGAAACTGCCCTCTTGTTAGAAGCCACAAATTGTACTTCTATTGAGGGAAAACAGGGCTTAGCAAAAGAAAGTGGTAGAAAGAATAATCACAGGGGAGCAAAAAAGCTACTTTTGGAGCATTCTACTTCCCGAGATAAAATGGATCTTTCAAAAGGGAACTCAAGGCAAACAACCACCTCACAGGCTGTTAGTTCCACCTCACTTCAGGCTTTGCCAGAAGATGGTAAGAGTGAAACTCCTGAAGAACAACAGTGTGTACTTTTGGAAGTAGCTCCATCTGCAAAAGAAAATCGATCAAGAGTAGGCAGAAAGAAAATAACTTCTTCCACATCTAAAGAAACTAGTTCCATTTCTCTCAGGGAAAAACCTGTCTTGCCCAAAGACAGAGGTCAAAAGATGATTCTTAAAGAAGATGAAGATACCTCTCTAGAAAGTAACTCCTCTCAGGAAAACAGGAGGCAATTGAGGAATAAAAGTAAAAAGGTAGAATTCAAATTGAAGGCAGCTACTTCTCATTGTAAAAGTGGTGACTTGCCAGAAAATGGCAAAGCTTCAGAAACTCAAGGTGTGTATTTGGCATCCACTGGTTCTGAGGAAAATCATCAGTCTGGAAAAGGGGAAGAGGTTACCCCTGCACCAAAGGCAACTCCCCCTTCTCGCAAGAGGAAACATCAGTTGCCAGCAGACGATTTGCCATCCAAAAAACTCAAGTCAGGTGAGGCAAGAATTTCCTCTCCATTTTCTAAGTGTAGCTCAGTTATGTATATGTATGTAGATACAACAATAATGTGTTCACAGTTTTAATGTTGCGGGGGGCTGCCATGCTTTAGTGGAGCAGGAAGACTGGTGAGTGGGATCTATGTTATGGAATCATAAAATGAGTTGGGTTGGAAAGGACCTTAAGCTCCCACACAGATGCTCACTCCTTCCTTTACAGTCAAAAACTTGACTTTCCAGCTCTATCTGGACCATTGCAGGGTTTTCCTTTGGTGTTGAATATGTTTTAGTTTTACATATCAGTAGAAGGAATTTTAGCTAAAATGGCAGCTAATTGGTTTTGGTGCTCTCATTAATGTTAACCTACTTTCAGAAATAGCTGTAGGTCCTCAGGGATCTGTCTTAAAGGATATCTTAAAGGATGTGCACAAGTATGGGGTTTGTAGCTGGCTTGTTGAATTCAGAGATGAAATCTTTTGGAATGTGGTCACTGGGGACATTGCCATTAAAAACAATGTAACTGAGGGCTGAATTTTGTGTAAAATGTTTGATTTATGATCCAAATCTATTTTCTTTTTTGTGTGTGCAAATAAATAGAGAATGATGGAAATCCAGCACTGCAAAAAGGAAAAAGAAGCAAAGCTAAAGAAGAACCTGAAGGGGATGTAAGGGCTACTCGGAGTGCTGGAGGGATGGACAGGAAGACAAGATCAAGCACAAGAACAAGTGCAAAAGCAAGAAAATAGTCTCAACAACAGCCACAGCATCAGTTTTTTTAATCAATTCATAACTGAAATGGCAGGTTTTTAATGTGAATTGATTTGCACTTGGATTTTAAGCTCAGATTTTGTAAAGCAATCACTGAATTCTGATATTATCTAAAGATACTTCTTATTGTGTTTACAGGTAGGGTGTAGATTCTGATTTTAATAGATTTATGTGTAGTGGTTCCTAACCTATGGGGTGCTTGTGCAAAACTGCAAACCTTAAACCTAAATCTTTTTATACCAGTATTTATCCCCCTTTTTAATGTCGATCAGTACAGCAGCCAGGAAGCCATACGACTTTACTGCTAGTTTAATTGTAAGCTATTTTCTGCTTAAATTTGAATGTGCTTAAGTCTTATTTTTCATGACAGTTCTGTAAATATTCTTTAAAAGAAGCTCTGGATGTATCAGCAGAATTATGATGCTGAAGTTTTGATAAGTTTGAAAAAAAAAACCCCTTAAGTTCATTGTATTGAAAAATGCAGATTTGTGGAAGTCATTAAATTTGTGAACAATTTGGGACTGGTGTGTTTTGTGTTCTTGAGAACAGTGAAGAATGTGTCAGTCCTCATTATAATGTTCACACACCGTGTAGACGAGGACCTCAGTGCCGTGGGTTATTGGTGGCCTTGGCAGTGCTGGGGTAACGGTTGGACTTGGTGGTCTTAAAGGTCTTCTCCAACTTTGTT